CATGTCGGCAAACACGTCATGAACAGTGTTTTCAGTTAGATCAGCGTTTGTTGCAGCACTTGCAGTCGATTTGTTTTGAGTTGCATCATCGAACAGAGTAGTTGATTCTGTGTGAGCTGTGGATGACGTTACTCAGGTTGACAGTGTTGAAATCGTAAAATACAACAGGGTTTAACTCGTAGTTACAGGATTCTGCTGTGCCCAACATCTTGTGATACTTGATGAGCCTGTCAATCATGTCACTCAGATGTGTGAATGTTACCATAACCTCTGTACCGGGAGTGGGTGTACGCTGGTTTAGAAGCAAACCCTAGGCTGTCCTAGCATGTGGATCAAAGAAACCGTATCTGCCTGACCTGGTTCTGAATACTGCAATGCACAATGAACTCATCAACAGCAATGCATACTGCACATCCGACAACAAGCAGGACAATCCGGACTCAAGGTCAAGAAAGTAATCTACTGCTCCAGGATGAGGATCTCCAAATGAGCCGTATCTGGAAAGTTGTGACATGTCCACAATGTGTGTGCAACGGCGTGCAGGAACAGAGTCAGGAAGTTCATCCGTGGTCAAATGAATGTGGTTAGGAACCCTTTTTCTAACCTGTGTGTACATCACGTTACCTTTGTCCAAAACAAGATCCAGGTCAGCTCTGGTGAGGTTTTCATTCTCATACAGAAATGCAGGAAATGTGAGTGAGTTACAGGTACATTGCTTATTTCTGGTTCTAGAACTGTAGATAAAAGAAGCCTGGCTTTAGGATCCACTGACACTTTGTTCATCACCTGCAGTGTTTACACTGGCTGCATGAGGTGGGCCTGCTACAAACTGGTCATGGCTGTTTAAAATATCTGCACGAGATACCTGAGAATGAGAAGGGCCTGCAGTATATGGATCAGTGCTCCTGCCTCTCTTCACAATGCCTGCCTGAGATACCTGTGGTACATGTTGCTCATCACTTGGACCTACGTTGTTTACCTGCCAAGACTGAGAAGGGCCTGATACACCTGGATCACGTACTCTCTTCACCATGTCTGCATAAGATACTTGTGGTACACATGATGACATTTGCCCTTCTTGTGTCATACTCATGGAATCAGGCACTGTGGATCTCTTTACCTCCCCACTGCTCTCAGAAAAACACACAGTTGCACAGTTGATATCATCTACCTTCTGCCAGCAAAGCCTTTGGGCTTGAGATCTTTTACTCTTCCTTGGCATTGTAGCTGTTCAGATGAATGCTCCTGTGGTAGACCTGTCAGTCTGCAGAAAGGGAACAGCCACTCCAAATATGTCTTCCTGCAAGATATCTTTTTTTTACAGTATCAGGTTATATCACAACAGAACACCTGTGAATATTCAATGTCAATTCAGATAGAGCAAAATACTATAGAAAAGATAGGGAGCCTTCAAAATAGATAGAGGGGTAGATGGATAGAAAAGGTAAAGAGCCTTCAATATTGATAGAGGGGTAGATGAATAGAAAAGATAGAGAGCCTTCAATATTGATAGAGGGGTAGATGAATAGAAAAGATAGAGAGCCTTCAAAATAGATAGAGGGGTAGATGGATAGACAAAGCAGATAGAGTTTCTCAAAATAGATAGAGGGGTAGATGGACAGAAAAGATAGGGAGCCTTCAATATAGATAGATGTAAGAGATGAGATAGAGAGAAGTAATAGAGGGGAGAGATAAAGATAGAATACGAGATAGAATTGACAGAGTAGAGGTAGAGATAGAGATCAGCTGGGGAGCTGGCTGGGGATCAGCACACCTGTAAGACAAAAAGGAAATAGATATCAGGTAGTTGTTAAAATACATTTTATATATACTGTTGATATATTTTAATGTGTGTAATGAAAAAAAAGAGTGTGAAATTCAGCGCATCGTCTAATTTATTGTGTGAACTTACCACTGAGTCTGTGACCAACAGAGAATGAAATGAGGGGACAAAGAGAGAGAGATTTTTAGTTTCATTTCAAATCACCAACACCTCACACTTTCAGTTGTTGTTGAATTTGTGCAAAACACTGGTGCCATTGAAATGTGTCTTTAAACACATTGAGCAGGTGTACAAGTCTGAACTGTCCATGCTGCACTTAGCCCAATGTGTAAAAGGGAAATTCTAAGTGTTCCTAATAAAGAAAAAAAAGTGTTGCATCAGTTCCCTTTACTGTACCGAACCGAAATTTTTGTGTACCGTTACACCCCTACTGGATAGGATTAACCTTATTCAGATACAGGCTCTTGAAGATGACTGAATTCAAATTACCAGAGCTGTAAATAGGACTTCAGACATCCTCAAGTTCCACTACCACTTAATAAAAGTGTGTATCACATTCAGACTGACTGTATGTACGTGTGTGTAAACTTACTGCAGACTGGCTACCTCACGGCGATGGTCTGCTGTCAGATGAAAGACAATAGGTGTGGAGAGACTTGGGGAAAAAGTGAAAAGTGAAAAGTTAATCTCTTGTAAAGTTAACCTCACAGCTCATTCCAAATTTTATTTAAAATCAAAGTGTAGAATTTGTGGGCACATAGGGAATTGTTTAACGGCGACTTTTCAATTGTTTACATTCTTAATAATATGTGATTAGTGGTTGTGGCCACACAAAAGATGACTTTTAAAATGTGTCATGGCATCAACATTATAATTCATGTATGTGAACTTACATTTCAGGGTTTGCTGGAAAAGTTGTCAACGACGGTCTGCAGTTAGAGAAGGGGACAGAGAAATATTTTGTTTAATTGTAGAAACATCTTAAAACCTTTCCCCTGGAAACACCTGTGTTACATCAGGTAACACCTGACAAGTCTCTAACACGGACAGGGAGGATAATTGTTGTTTTTATTTCATATTATTTGTGCATTTATGTATGTTTATGTAAACTAAATACTTGAGGTGAACTGTAACGCCTAGCCAACAGCTACTTAAATGTACTTAAAACACTGACATTTAGTGGATCATATTACCCATAATCAGGAATTTGTTTTTAAGGCAGTAAGTTATTACCGTAGATTTGTGCAGGGTGTCAAAGATGATCTGAAAAGACAAAAAAACATAAAAATACACGAGTATTTTGAAAAGTGCTCTGTTAACACAGGTTATGATTACAGAAACATGTCACAGCTCAATCTGAGGAATTTCAAGGTGGATTTTTTTTATCTGAATTTGTTATATGCATTGAATTTGGTCAACAAAATGCCTGTCAAACACTCAATTGGAGATAGAGAAAAAGTAGTTTTGTAAAAAATAAAAATAAAAATAGTGCTTACTAATGTTACAAGACACAATGAAATGGCTTTGCTTTTTAATTCATTAATATGACACAATTTTGTTAATCGGGTCTGACATGACTCTATAAATTATTAGAGCATATTCCCACAGCAGCCATGAGTGTGACTTGACGTCCCAGGAAAATGTCTGCTCTGCAGATACAAAGATTTCCATTTAGTGATGGCAATGTCACGACTCATGCGTCTATACTTATTCTTCTGATTGGGGGGGAAGGAGTCCAGTCGGTTGTAAAAGTGGGGGAGGTGGCCGTGGATGGCACAGTGGTGTAGGAGGGAGGAAGGGAAGGAAAAAAATCGTTTTAGTTCAACATAAACAGAGTTATTTGCATTATAAAAACCAGAACAGTCGGTCAAACGTATTGGCGGTTATAATGGGCAATATTCAACTCCTCTCGAGCAGTTGCAGCATATTGAACCCATTTCAATATGCTGCAACTGCTCGAGAGGCAGCGCACGCTAGTGACGCAGCGCTGTCCTAACAGCACGCGACGTGGCGCGACGACCTGTTTCTATTTTCCTCTCTGTCGCTCGCGTCAACGGACATGGAACTTGCTTTTGTCACTTAACAGAGCTTAGTAGCACATATTACAAGGTGGAGATAATATCCACATCCGTGACTGAAATGTTGCGCTCTGACTTGTGTCAACGCCAGACACTGAAATTAACGGAGCAGAGAACTCAATATTTAACGCGTGCGGTGTGGACAGCTCGCATGCGGTCATCCGCGACGGAACACGACATAAAACGCTCGCGCGCTGTTAAGACACGGTCATGACCACAACCATTAGCTTCATTTGTAGTTTTGTCTTAAGGAATTCAAGGGTAGTTGGTCTGTAGCTGGCAGTGTGTTATAACACGTACTAAACTGATGAAATAATGTGTTAAGAAACATTCCCTGCTCTAAACGGGTAATGTTGTGCTTTCTGCTGAGTTGGCATTCATTCATTGGCAGCTAGCGACAAGCTAACTAGCTAAAGTAGGACTCTCCAGTTGTAATATAAAATATTTCACTCTCCCTTTCCCCCCATGGTAAAACTAGGTAATAGTTAGAGAGTATTATGCCCTATTTCTAAAACACTAAATGTGTATTTTTACCGTAAAAAGCATTCACACTAATAATAATAATAAAGATTTGGATAACAACAGTGTGAATGCTGTTACAACATTCACACTAATAATAATAAAGATTTGGATAACAATAGTGTGAATGCTGTAAAGATTTGGATATCAAGAGTGTCCACAGGCCAAGACAATCCTCCATTTGAATGGCAAAATTCTCAGCCATAACAACTCCAAAGGTAAGCCTTGCTAGTAATTCTATGATGTAGTTGAAATCTTTCAACTGGGTTTCTTAACCTTTTTTTCAGGTTCTGTGTCCTACCGTACTGAGCAACAATATAAAAAAAATAACTTTAAGTTGGTCCAACTCATGCTTCATTTTTCTTTCAGTTTCTCTGCATTTGTGTGTAAAAGCTAATTTGAGGACCTATATGAATTCATGAAACTGGGTTATCACATAACTTCCTGGTAAAAGCAATACTGACTTCCTCTGAAAGAGCTACACTACACAGGTGGAACCGATTAGGCATAATTAAAAAGCAATCAATCTAGCCCGCCCTGCTTCTTCTGATTGGTTGTTGCAGAACCGCTAACACTAATTGTTGCACTTCAAATAGCCGCAGCAAAGCGTTGATCTCCAGTTCTTAGCATTTCCAGGAGTCACAACAGAATGATGCGAAAAGGAAAAAGGAGAAGTGGCGCTGTTTACTTGGCTGCAGCTGTTATTTTTACATGTTATTTGGCGCAAACCATTGACTGTTACCGATTGAAGAAAACAGAAAGAAGAGAAGGACGAAATGACCCTCATGCAGCCAAATCAGCAGCTGTCCAGGAGGGTAGAATTATTTTTGGGAGAGACCTTGAGACAGGGTCTGGCCTCGAATCTCAGGTCATAGATGGAATTAAGAAAACCTTCTCAAAAGTTTCTGCTGAAGCTGAAGCTGCTTATCAAGCGGACTCTCCAGGTAAATATATATATTTAAAGTCATTATATTATGATATTAAATTGTTTGACTCTTTATGGTGACTCTTCAAATCACATGGTTATTTAATTAGTCCAATCAGGCTGGCCTGAAGGACATGCAAATGATTCCGATGGCGGCGATGCATCATGGAAGCGTATGACATGCTCCCTGCAGTGTGGTGCGGATCTAATGAAGTTCAGAGCAGTGGGACAAGGTGCTTCACAGTTTACAGTGGACAAAGGTAACTTGAATAGGATTTCGCTACTGCTGTGCGCTCATTATAAAGTGTAGCCTATTTCTTGATTGCACTCTGACTAAGAATTTGTCCAAATAGGAACCTCGCATCTGTCCCAAATCCCACCAACCTGTGGCTACACAATGCAAAGGAACCCTCTTGCACTTGTAATGTTGGTCCCCTATGATGGCTGCAACATGGTTCAAGAGGTAACTTTCTTTTTTTTTTTTTCCTGAAATGCAAAATGTTGTATACGGTGGGAAAATGATAACTCTAAAAGCAGCTGTTTTCATAACAGCAGCAACTATCTTAATAATTAATTGATCATGTATAAAGCATGAAGAACCTGATGAGTGTCTGTATAGCCACCTGTTAAATGGTTATTCTTGGGTGTTTTTGAAGATGAATTGATCATAATTCTGTTAATCTAAATCCAGTCCTAGTGTAACCCTGTGGTCTGCTTAACTTTCTGAATTTTTTTTCTCCTCTGAAGGATGGGTATTATATTCTCCTAATACGCTGGCAAGGCATTCCAGTCTACCTCTTGTGTCCATTTTACCCTCTGTCAGTCACGGCAGCTCCATCCCCGACGTTTCCTTGTCCCTTCTTCCCACCTTGCTACCCTTACGACCCTCTGGTGACTACTACTGAAACTGAGCCGACTAAAACTAAGCCGACTATTGCTGACCCGACCAAAACTAAGCCCACTAAAACAAAACCAACTAAAACTAAACCGACCAAAACTCATTTCACTAAAACTAAACCGACCAAGACTAAGCCCACTAAAACTGAACCGACCAAAACGAAGCCCACTAAAACAAAACCAACTAAAACTAAACCGACCAAAACTCACTTCACTAAAACTAAGCCCACTAAAACTGAACCGACCAAAACTAAGCCCACTAAAACAAAACCAACTAAAACTAAACCGACCAAGACTAAGCCCACTAAAACTGAACCGACCAAAACTAAGCCCACTAAAC